TTGTGTGGATTGTGCACATACTTATTAGCTATTTTCGCGGAACTAATCCCGAACTAATTCCGGACATCCTAGACATGCGCTTTTTAAAATTTGGGGCTCAGAATGTAAAGTGCGCATGACAAATATTAAAATGCGCATGCCTAGGATGTCCGAACTAGTTCGGGATTAGCACAGCGAAAACACCTATTATCTAAGTATAATATTTTTATGCAATTTAATCTAAAAAAGTTATTTTTTTGGATTATTGCAAGATTTAGATTTTCGGTTATTTTTTTGGATTATTGCAAGATTTAGATTTTCGGTAGAATATCTATTGATGTCTATCGGTAGAATTTTTCAGAAATCGGTAGATCTACCGAAAATTCGGTAGGGTTGGCAACACTGTTCCCTAACAGAAAAAGCGCGCAGTTTTTCAGTTTGACATATGATTTTCAGGTTAGGTAGGTCGTTAAGAAGGAATGTAGCACCCGGACAATACCATGTTGCCAAATGTACAACTTATTTGACGTCTCCTAATGGCCTCTATTCCTCAATGGGGCGGGGGGCCCAATGGGGCGGTGTCGGTTGGGTTGGGTTGTTGAGTTTGGGTTGGTTTGGGTTGGTTTCGCTCACTTTTGCCCATTTAAGTTGATTGACAGTGAGCGAAACCAACCCAAACTCAACAACCCAACCCAACCGACCCCGCCCCATTGGGCCCCCCGCCCCATTGAGGAATAGAGGCCATTAGGAGTCGTCAAATAAGTTGTACATTTGGCAACATGGTATTGTCCGGGTGCTACAATTAATCGTTCCTCGTTACGAGGGAAAAATAGGTAGTTTAAATGACTCGAGTTCTCAAACTTCGTCGGAAGTTGGTATTTCGAGCTACCGTCGGTTGGTATGTGGACAAATTTGGTTAATTTCAATTAATAATTTGTTGACTACGCAATTTTCGCGAACAAAACGAGGTGACGATGGACGCCATTAAAGAAAGATTTGCTTTTTTTTAGATTTTTACGGTTCATTGAAATAAAATAACAACTTTTTTATGTTTTTTAACTTATGTTCTGTGTTTTTTAAGTTAGTTTTTTAGAACTGGTTCAAATTTTGTTTAAAAAACACATTTTTATTAAAACTTATTTTTTTGCAAAAATAATTAAATATGCAAAACTGAAAGATTTTTTGAAGCCCACGCATGTTTTGCCAGCAATCATAACCATATTTATCAGTAAAGTGCCTTTCGTATGGATATTTCAATATAGATCACCCGTTAAAAGTCAAATAATACATTACTACATTGTTATAAGTGTTCATTTCATAAAGAGTCGACATATTTTGCATTTCTATGTCTTTCTACAATATTGGTAGAGATTAAGTTATTTTATTAACGAACGACTATTTGTTTGTGCAGCGTATTGACGAAATAGGTAAAAATCTCCACTTCAGTACACAGCAAACGGAAAAATATAGAACTGTATAGGTAGGATGACTCCGCGTTTGAATATTAAATCTTAAAGTTTTATCAGAACTGTATTGTACCTATATATAGGTACCTATGCACGACTATATTTAAAGTCAAACTCAACGGTGTCTTACAGGATACATTGTTTTGATTTTCTATATTTAACAGAGAGGTAGAAACTCGACCCTGTCGAATGGTGTAGTCATTTATGTCTCTAGAAATTATTAAAAAAGGGTTCAGTCCAATGGTGCAGCAACTTCGGATTCCTATTCTCTTCAGAGACATAGAAACTCAAGCTTTTAGAATTTTACTGGCAATGATTTAAATTTCGTTAATGTCCCCGAGAATTATACAAAAACAGCGCAATGCAATATCGCAACGGTTTCGACTTCTCTTTACTCTACCAATTGGTACTTAAGTTATAGAAACTGGAGTCTCACTAATACTGTTCTAGTCAATATTTCTGAGAGTATAAAAAGAGGGTGTAATATTGCAAGAAGTTTTGATCTTTTGATGGATTCAAGTAGTTTGAATTTTCTCATTTCTGCATAGGTATGATTTTGTTGAAAATAGTTCCTTTCTTTGGTTCCTTTGTCTGATTTTTATTTACCGTAACAACTCAGGTATGTAAAGCACAGAGGATATGATGTTAAGTATATTTATGTATTATATAAAGTACCTATATTTGTATTAAAAATTTCAGAGGTTATGTTGAAAAAATGATCGACATGCTATTAAATTTTAATAATTTAGTAATGAGGTCTGTTGGTAGACCCTGCACTATCTCCAGGTATATGTTAGTACAGCAATATTTAAATCTGGTTGATGAAAAAGTACACACCAGTGCAGGTTATTGTAGCATCTATGAACAAATGAATTAATGGCCCATTGGCAATTATTCCTTTAGGAAAAATATTCAACACAGCTTAATAATAAATCAAAACATCAAAATTTTATAAGAAAGAAATTTTTTTTAACAATAAATGATTACCTGAAAAAATACCGTTTGGAAGTCATTGGCGCACGTACTAAAAAATAGGGGGAGTCAGTGTGTACTGGACCCCCCAATTTTGATTATTTGACAATTGTTTTTTGTTTTGTTGGTCTCAAAAAATGTAACTATTTATGTTGAAGTAGTGTACCGAATTTGAACTTAATATCTTATCAATTACTCGAATTATTAAAAAAAATCAGTTTTAAATTTCAAACTTTGTCGCCCTGTATATCGAACATGAAGCTCTAAATTGAAAAATGGTATTATGAAAGTCTTATTGTTTTAACTCAAGGAATATATGGTTAACGGATTGACCTCCTTTTCCCGGACACCCTATATAATATATATCAGTGGCGGATTGGGGATTTTGGGTATACCAATATCTCAGTTATTAGACATGGGACCCACACCAAATTTATAATAGTTTATTATGACATTAAATAGATTAAGTTCGGCGCAAATTATAGTGGAGTATAAATTGCACCACTTTAATTTGAATTATCCCAAATGGGGAGGCCAGAAGCCAGGTAAGGCGACACAAAAAACTAACTTTTTTTCGCAAACTTTAATTTAAATTCTGTTTGCGCAGAACTTGTCTATTTAATGTCATTATAAACTATTATAAATTTGGAGTGGGTCCCACGTCTAATAAGTGAGATATTGGTATACCCAAAATCCCCAATCCGCCACTGATATATATATTATTATAATTATATATATTATAGTAATATATATAATTACATAATATATATTGGTTTAAAAGGTCACAATTATATGTTATAGGTACATTAATAATTAATATATGTATATTATATATTAATTAATTAATTAGTTAACCTTAAGGTTATAATTGTAATGTATAACCTATAAATGAGGAGCAATCAACCAAAACCAGATAAATCCATTTTGACTTCTTGAATGATTCATATTTCTTTTAGTCGGATAAATCAATTGGAAAAGTGAATTTCAAGATAAACTTATTATAATAATATATATATTATATACTAATATTAATATTAGTATATAATCATATCATATTATGATAACAAGTTTAGCTTGAAATAGATATTTCCAATGGATTTATCTGAACAAAAGAAATAGGAACCATTCAAAAAGTCGAAATGGATTTATCTGGTTTAGTCTGATTGTCTGAAGTTTTTGTGTATTTTTTTAAGGTGTTAAAATAAATATTTCGACAGATTAAATTATTTTGAAAAATGAAATCCATATTCTAAAAGCGCATGCGCAAAAAATAAAAAGTTCACGCTTGATGGCAAATTGAGCATCAATTGAGGACTCATCTGTCGCGTTATATGAATTCACGCGTGAATTTAATTTTCACGAGTGAATTCGTAGTGAATTCATAGTGAATTCATTTTGCTATCTTATATATAAACATTTTTTTGTTCCACATCATGTAGGGAGAGTTTGGACACACTGTCTAGAGTCTTTCTCTATTGTCCAAACATCGTCCCGGCACTTCGTTAGCAGAATATTGCAAAAATTAAACCGAGGATCCTCGATCGATATACAGTCAAATTCCTTAAAAGTTAGTTTTCATCATACAGATTTAAAGAAACAGAAGAAGATGAAGCCTTGGTGGATTTTAAGGACGTGGTATTGGTTATTCCCACCCACTGACGGAGTTCGATTTCATAACATGATTTACTTTAATTTTGATTTGTCGCAATTTAGTATTGTATAAGTTTTGCACTGATGTTTTCAATAAAATACCTAAATTTTTAATATTTTTATAGTGTCCGTACGCTGTCCAGCATCTCCCCGTATGTGGGGTGACTTTGGACAGATGACCGAAAATTTTCAAAAATTCGTAGCAAACCATATACCTATAATAATATAAGTTATAGGTATATGTAGCAAACCCATCTTACGGTTTAAAGTGCACATATTTATCTCTTTGCGTTTTCAGAAGTCAACACTATTACCTGAAACTTTGAAATTAGAAATAATTACATTTTTAAGAGACCCAGGCAAAGAAATCTAAAAATTGTCCAATGTCTACCCACTCTCCCCTACTAGTTCAAAAGTGAAATTACGACCTCTATACTGTGGAGAGTATTGAAACGCTCGACTGACGAATACAAATCTATACCGTGGGGAGATTTAGAAAACAATATTCAAACGTGGCGTCATCCTATACACTTCTATAATTTTCCGTTTGCTGTGTAGTCAGCAACCGACCTCGTGACGATCCAAATTCGTTCGCTCCATTTAGGTACACATGATGGTCGTCATGTGAGTCATACGACGTCGGCTGCCGACGTCGGGTCGCCCCAGACGACGTCGCTTTTACGTCCAAATGTTTATTGGGTATTGGAATAGATAAAGTATAGTATTACACTCGAGATTAAGCGCATTATCTCTCGTATAATAATATACTATCCGACGATTCCCTGTGTCCCTTTTGGCAACGAAAATTCCCTAAAATGGGAAAACACTTGGGTTTTAGTCTGTCAGCCGGGCCGACGTCGACCATGAGCTGCCTTGCGGCCGACAGATAATTGTTTATCGGGTTTCCATTAATATTTAATTTTTTTATTGTAGATACTGCAAAATTGTACGGAAACGAAATATACATAGGCGAAGCCCTGAAAATTTTGTTACCTAAGCATAATCTGACCAGAAGAGATATCTTCATCACAACAAAGTTAGGTAAATATGTTTTAATCGCAATGTATAAAGATAAATAAGAAAAAATGCGTTGATTTTAGCACCCGAGGACTTGGGAGATAAGGCTTATGAAGCTCTTAAAGATTCAATTCAGAAATTAAATACCGAATACGTTGATCTATATTTGATTCACTGGCCTGGAGCTGCAGATAATTTAAACAATAGCATTAAAAGGGATAAAACTTGGGAACTTTTGGCTAAGGGAGTAAAAGATGGGCTTGCCAGGAATATCGGCGTTTCAAATTTTAACATTCGACATTTAAATCAATTGTTGAAGAACGATTTTGGTGTTAGGCCAGCAGTTAATCAAGTAAATATAATTATACCAGAAAAAATTTATTACAAACAATAATCTTAAATATTTAAGGTGGAATGGCATCCAAATTACCACCAAGATGATCTCAAAAAATTTTTAGATAAAGAAGGAATATTGCTTCAAGCCTATTCATCTTTGGGTGGTTCTAGTAACGATAATTTACGCAAAAATGAAAAAGTTAAAGAAATTGGCAAAAAACTTGGAAAATCACCTGTTCAGGTATATGCAATATATTCAATATACTCGAATATACTTTACTGTCATAATAAACTACTATACATTATATTATACTGGGTTAGGTACAAGGAGAAAAAAAAATATTTTACATTTTTCAGAAAATTTCATTCTTGATAAAAGTTTTTGCTTGAGAATTTGCGACACATAGAAGATGATTTTGCATATTTTGTTTGATTGTTTTGTATGAGTAAAAAAATGGTGCTTTTTAAATACTAATAATTTTTTCTCAAACGTAACTACAATCAGAAAACAAACAAAATATGCAAAATCATCTTATATAAAATTTTTGGTTCGTATTTTTGTTTTGTTTAAAAAAAAACTTTGTTTAATGCCGCAAATCCCATCGTGACCCAACTTCTACTAAAGTTTATTAAAAGTTAAAAAAAAGTGATGACTAAGGAGTGAACTCGGGTCTTTCGGTTGTCAAGCAGATGATTGACAATGACTCTATGCCGCCTTAATCTTTCATTTATCCGTTTGTCCGTTATCCGTTTTTCAATAAAATCGTCCGACAAGAAATGTTCTAATTTTCATGCATACGTTTTTTAATGACGTTTAACGGATTGATTTGGCGACAAATAGAAATTAAGGACCAGTATATTGACTTTACCTAATGCTTAATTGCCATAGTTACAATTATGTCAACAATTGTAACTTTAACAGTTAGCTGTAGCTGTAGAATATACTAGCTGTAGCTGTAGAATATACTAGCCACAATCCACATTGTGTGGATTGTGATACTAGCCTTAATATACATTAAAATGTATAGTTTTAAGAAAGCAGGTCCTGGTTTTATTATTTTTTTGTTTGTATTTTCTTTTTTTCCGTTATTCTTATTAACAAAACAGTAGAACACGTCAAAAACAGAGGTGTAGTGACGGATGAGTTAAAATTATTTTAACTTTCCCCGTCAGACGTACGAAGTTGAAACTTGACGGACCGATAAAATGTCATAATTTTCGAATTATAATTGGACCAATAAGAGCGCTCCGGGATGATCGGACTAACGGACAAACAGATACATGAAAATTAAGCTTTATTCAATGACATTTGTTATTTACAAATGGTAAACTTGTCTATATATACCTAAATATAAAGCGTATAGTGCAACACCGGCCAAACTGAAAATTTCCATCTTGTGTTTTTATTTTAAAATATTCCTTAATATTTAAAATTTAAATAAAAATTATTTTAAATTATTATAGTGCTTTAACCATCACCAAATAAATGTTTTTCTCATATTATTTATTTAAAAAAATTGTTTTTTAAGTGTTGCACTATTAGTGTTGTAAAAAAAACGTTTTTTTTCAGTTGAAAAAAAACACGTGAAAAAAAACATGTTTTTTTTCACTGAAAAAAAACAAAAGTTGTTTTTTTTCATTCTCACCCACGTATGGTAAAAGGGCGCCTCGCTGTCGGCAATGCTGACTTAGCATATCGTATAGTCTATACGGTATTATAATAGAAGAGTTAAGACCTGCGGCTTTATAGGTTGATGCATAGTTGGTAGAAATGCCGAAAAGAAAAGGCTCAGGGCGAAAGCCAACAACGTTAAACAATTTGTTTAAGAATATTACTAATGGTAAGTTAAAAACTATAATTAGTATTTAATAATCTTCTAGTGACAGAATGTGCCAAAAATTCTTTCCTCAGCAGTGACATTTCGAAAATCCTGTCACTTAATATAATTTGAGTATTTTTGACCATTTCTTTGAAAAAAAACATTTTTTTTGAAAAAAAACAAGGGCCTCTGTTTTTTTTCAAAAAAAAAACATTTTTTTTTGAAAAAAAACAAGAGTGTTTTTTTTCAGTGACAACACTATGCACTATACGTCTCAAATGTTAATAATATTATAAAATATTATTAATTATTTTTAAAATTTTAAAGTTGAAAATCTTTTTTTGTTACTTTTTTGAGCTAAATTTGTTGCATCTCTATAGGTATATGTATAGGTATTTATTTAAATTAATTTTTTTATAAAAACAAAGTTAGATTGCGAAAAGAATAATAATTTAAAAAATTTCAATAAAAAAAAATATAAAGGAAAGTTCGCCCACTATGAGATTTGCGCCATTAAAGGTAGAATAAGACAAAGTTTATTTGAAAAGAATGTTCTTTTCTGAAAAAGTGATAAATTTCATATAATTTTACTTTTAATATTTTGCTTGTATTTAAAATTGAAAAAAAGCGCATAGATTATTCAGTGTTTAAAAAGTTATAAGCATTAAAAAAAGCACAATTTAAAAGTTATTTACGTGTCAAGCTTTGTAAATGAATCTTTACGGGCGAGCTGAAAGTTTGTAGGGTGAGCGACTCAGGAGCGAACTCCATAATCCAGTGATTAATTGCAAAGCGTGACACGTACACACTTTAATTTTTCCATTTAGATAACAATTTTCAAATTTAAATTTTCAATTAATGTGTCAAATGTGTTATTTAATTTCATAAATTGCCTTTCTACAAGCTTGTAAAACTTTACAGGTCTTTTATACAAGCCATAAAATATTACAGGTCTGTTCCCATAATGTATCGTTTACTTGGATACAAAAACAACAAAATTAACCTATAAAAATTTAATGTCATTTACTAAGAAGGTGAGAATAGTATATTACACAACAAGGGCCGAAAGTTGAATTTTTGGCCCTGCGCGTCATGACGCAAGGAGATCCTCCTGTCTGAGAGGATTCTTATTGTTTTTCCATTTACATAAAGCTCTATTACTTTACGAGCAGCATCTAGTGTGCCTGTGATTTCACGCTGGAATATGGTCGTATAGATACCCAATGTTATACCGAGACGTATGCATGAGTTCTGACAATATATTCCCGCTCCAGAACCTGAGTCGGTTTTGGATCCATCTGTGAAGATAGATATATTACTGATCAGGCGAGGTTTTTGGGGATTCATTCACATTCACCTGATAGGTGATGTTGGTTCGTTGGTGTTGTTAAATAATATTCGGAAATACTATTAAGGGGATTTATTGAAGTAATCGCTACATGACAAGGGTGGACATCAACTGCTGCTTAGTGCCACACACCGTTACTAGGCAGCTAGCTGACCCACTCTACATATTGATGAGATGACAATAATAAGTTACGCGTAACAAACGTTACAAATATATTATGATTAGTTTCAAATTAAGGTTCCGATAACAATACACGTGTAATGTAATTGCCACAGGGAGTATTTAAATTATAGCTGAGTACAATCCGATCAGGCACTCCACCTAGAAGAGGTGTCTCTCGGATTCTCGTACAGCTGTGACGTTTGCTATAGTTATTTCCTTTTCACGGTTTAGTGGTCGTAAGCCTTAGAAATGGCCTTTCTCCTCTACGAACTAATCCAAAGAGGTAATGTTCAAGATCGCTTCCATGGCTGCTGTTGAAGTTGTGCGCATGCCACCTGTAATAGCTAGACATGCAAGCCGTTGCACATGCTGTATTTGTTCTGCTGCAGTAGTCTATTTGATTTTAGGTCACCAAACAACAGATCCGTTGCACAACATTGGTCGAATGACTGTTGTATATAACCAGATAACTATCTTAGGGGATAGTCCCTAGTCCTTCTACATTGCCAGAAGGCCACTGAGGCCTTCTAAACTTTGTGCTTCAGATTACTAGCCCAGTTAAGTTTGCTCTCTACAATTATTTCCAAGTATTTAACTTGTTTTGTAAGTTCCATACAGGTTCCAAATTACTTGGGCATTTTGAGAAAGACAAGTTATTTTTCTGGTGAAGAGAATTAATTCCGTCTTTGCAGGATTTACAGAGAGGAAATTCCTATTACACCAGTTTTCAATTATGTTTAGAGCTGTTTGCTTTGGATCGCAAACGGTGCTCCCAATTTTGCCCGTTAGCATAATTGTTGTTGGGTGATCCCAGTAAGCACTATCTAGCCGGCCCGCATACGGCCCGAATACGTTTTGCCGAATCGGCCGCGTGCGGCCCGAGACATGTATTTGTTCCGGCGTGTAGACCGGGCATGTCCGCCTGGCCGAATGTCGGCTATGTTTACTCGGCCGAGTGTCGGCTGTGTATAGTTTCCCGAGTGCCGGCCACAACAGCCTGGCAATTCAAAAAAAGCCTTCAGACGTCCTGGATAGGTATATCTTGTAGGTTTAACACACTCGACTATAGCTAGCCATTATTCGTTACTGGGGACTTCAAACAATTGTTGTTCAGCTATGCCATTACAGACGCTCACTTCCAACTAAATATTGCAACCCATCGCTATTTATAGCTAGCTCGCTTGCGTAAGCAGCCGTGAGATGTATTGCTTATGCCGCGGCAGGCCGTATTCCGGCCGTAAGCGGGCCGGCTAGGGCAAGCCGAACGATTTTGCAGCGGCATGCCGTATTCTGGCCGACTTTGGTTAGAACATGGCCAAACGGTCCCGGTCTAACATAACGCGGGCCATAAGCGGAACGACTGGGGGCAAGCCGAACCGCCGGTCAACCGCTTATGCCGAGCGAAGGCCGACTGTTTGCCGAGTGTTTGGTGCTTACTGGGATTCTAGAAAATTATTAACAACTAAATTCCATATTAGTGGCGACAGTACTCCTCCTTGGGAGCAACCTTTTAGGCCTCATTGTAGTAGAACTGAAACCCTGCTGAAAGAAACTCGATCTTTTTTTAATCATATTTCGATCAGATATCCAAGTGGATCATGAAAATAATGCCCATGATTTGCTTTAAAGTTTGTACAAAAAAACAGAAAAAGGAACTAACATAGATCATAACGGACAAAGTTTTGCAGTAGCATTAAATTCACCTCATTGGCAGCAAGGCTACAAAGAATGTTGTCCAAGGATTCCAATCAGTTGTCTTAAACGCGAGGATAGGTCCTACACGGAAACCCTTGCAGAAACACATGAGTTACTTTTAAATACACATACCGACCAATTTAATAGATATTAATAAAAATTAAAAGACGCAAGCGTAACTTAAAAAATTGATCCATTTTGATCGCGGAGACAGAAATGATTAAAAATGATCATGAACATCTGTCATATTTGACGTCTGTCATTTTAAACATATGTCCTTTTCGAAATCTGAAATTAGGTGAAAGATGTCTCAAGAACAGTCCTTTTCTAAACATCCCTATCATTGAGTTCGGTCGGTATAGGCAGATAGATACCCCAGATCCTATATCCTATATATATATATATATATATATATATATATATATATATAAATATACACATGTCCAAAAGTTTGAAATACTTACAAATAATATATCTACGCCTATGGTAGTTTAAAAAAACTGTTGTTAATATTTACTCTATTTTCTCTGTCTTTGAGGTTTATTTATTATTGGTCGGAGTCGTTATAAAATGGTATTTACCTATATAAAAAAAAATATATAAATATGAATAAAAAAAGAAATATTGCAATATTCCAAACTTTTGGACATATGTGTATATCTGTGGGTAAAAGGCATAAGGGGATAAGTCAAAAAGATTTTTCAGCAGAGCCTTAAACGTATTCGCATTAATTCAGGAAATATATTTATGGTTAGCGGGTATACCCTTTTGTTAGCACATGTCATATGCTAACAAAAGCCTATACCCGCTAAACTTAAATATATTTCTTGAATTAATGCGAACGCGTTAAAGGCTCTATTGAAAAATTGCTTTTTTTGACTTATCCCCTTATGCCTTTTACCCACAGATATATAGTAGGGTGCTCCCCACTTAAAACGGCTCAAATTTTCAGAGAATATTTTTTTTAACATTTTTAACAAGATATCTAGTGGGGAAGGAAAAAATAAAAATAGTCGTGAAAAAAAGCACCCTAATAGGTAAAATTAGGTCGTCAGAGCATTTGTACTTAAACACACTTATTCCTTACTGAGCAGACACACACATGCTTATATACTTGTTTATAACTTTGTTAATTAATTAAATTTCTTGGATTTATTGTGGCAACTATGTTTAATATTGGCCACTTTACCTATTTAGTAAATAAAATTAATGAGTAGATATGTATGGCTGGCCCCATCGGCAACGGCTTACACTGATCTTCCAGGGATATTTTACTCCTTTTACAGGCCTGTAGCCAGCCGTAGGGCCCGATGGGCCCGGCCCCCCCCCGAAATTCCGTGAACCCTAAAATTTTCCTAAATATGTGAATTATGTTTTAAAAATATGTCTATCGATTACAAGCCATATTTTTTATGACAACTTCAAGCTTTACTGGTATTTATCCATCAACCATTTCCGACCCCCCTACCACCCAAAAAATTATTAATACGTTTTGGGCCCCCCCCAAACCAAATTTCTGGCTACGGGCCTGCCCTTTTAGTTCCCCTACGTATTCCGCCACTGCCCAGCATTACCTGTGTTTAATGAATCCGAAATTGCACCCGGTTGGTAAATCTCGCCTAGGAGATCGTGGATGACAGTGTCGATGGCTAAGGCCACTCCCGGAATTTTGTCGCCGGGCCGGGCATACGCCCGATTTAGGATAGTGGAGTACGGGACAAGGAGGGAAAACATTTTGGTTTTTGAGGGACATAAACTGACCCAAAACTATAGTTATAAGTACAATCCGAAGTGCCCCTCAACCAGGGATTAGTAATAACCCCAATTGGGGTTAATGAATGGGGCTTGATTGGTTAATACGCTGCTAAGACCTATTTTTGCTGGTTTTGAAGTACTTCCTGTTCGTCTGTGTCCGTTTATGTTTATTTCTTTAGGATGAGTTTATTTTGCCTAGTGTTTATCTGAACTTGTTTAAATTATCTTCTTATATACATATATGTGTATGAGTGCTTTTGTTATGCTTGCTTTTTTATGAGAACTGTTTGCGACTAATTAATTTTACCAACACTAATATAAAGTAACATTTATTTTTTCAAGGTTTTGCTTAAATGGAGCCTCCAACAAAATAACGCTGTTATTCCAAAAGCTACTTCCCAAAAACACCTTGAAGAGAACATCGATTTAAATTTTGTTATTCCAGAAAAAGATATGATAATTTTAAACACTTTTAGCCAAAAGAAAAATTCTTGGAACTCCGAAGATATTGATTAATTTTTCTTTAATAATTTGTAGGTACATTTTTTTAAGAATAAAAAATAATAACGAATTAATAATTATAATGTTTTTAATTTTAATAAAGCCTAGGTAATTCCTATTAATTACATTTAAATAGACCTACAAAAAAATGATTTTATTAGAAAAGGAAAAAATTCTATTTGACATTTTTAAATACACAATTTACACACACTATAACGCGCTTCATACCTCATAGGTACCGCATTATACACATAGAAGTTCAGTTTTTAGCACTTTAGATTATTGTTAATAAATAATTTATTTGTTTGTTTTTTTTACTATAAAATTGATAGATAGATAGATAGATAAATATCCTATCTCTTATTTAAATTTTTTTTAAAAAATCTTAAGATACAGCTATTTAAACATGAATTATTTTAAATTAACCTGATACACTGCGCTGGTTTCGTGCCTGGCCGGCTAAGCCGCGGCCACATAAAAACCTTAATAATTTTCGAAGTCGCATCCAAACTTTAGATGGACTTGTTCACAAGATTTTGGCCTACAAAATGTATATAATGTAGCAAGTACGGCTCTGGATCTCGGAATGATGACTCATCGCCGGTGACTCAGCGCTCGAATAATCGAGAGTGTGGAGCTCGCTGGAATGTTCCAGAAGACATAGGCGCTGAATATATAAGGAACGACGCATCACAGAGCAGTCAGTCCAGTTTTGGTACTCGCGTCGAAATAAATAAATATACGTGCAAATAAATAAAGTAGTAGTGATATAAATAATTAGTAGTTAAGTGTTTAGTTAGTTTTATAGTGTAGTTAAGTTATAAAAATAAATAGTTTAGTTCGTTAATTAACCAGTGCGTGTTTTAATTCACACAACGAACAGTTAAAAACGTTACATTGGTGTCAGGTGTGAGGTTAGTGTGAATTTTCGTAAAAATGGTTTCGTTAATGGACTTAAGAGTGGCGGACCTTAAGCGGGAGCTAGAAGAAAGGGAATGTGAAACAACTGGAAAAAAGAATGTGTTGCAGCAGCGGCTTCGAGAAGCGTTGGAACAGGAAGGTGAAAATCCAGATGTATTTATTTGAAGGCCCGTGTGATATGCGTTTAATGTTGCAAAATTTAAACGATTTAAAACAGAAAATGTTGGAAAATTCTAACGAGTTACAACAGAAAATGTTAGAAAATGTCAACGATTTAAAGGATGATTTGCAACAGAAAATGGTGGAAAATTCTAGCGATTTGAAAATCGATTTACAACAGAAGATTCTGGAAAATGTCAACGAATTAAAGGACGATTTGCAACAGAAAATGCTGGAAAATTCTAACGATTTTCAACAGAAAATGCTAGAAAATTCTAAAAACCTAAAAGAATATTTGGTAGAGAAGATTCTAGAAAATGTCAATGAATTAGAAGAGAAAGTTGACGATGTAAGGATGGAATTAAATAACGTAAGGATGGAATTGGATACGAGAGAAGAAAAATTGAACGAGAAATTGGAGGTCAAAATTAGAGAAATAAATAGTAAACTGAAAGCTGTAAATTTACCTATGATGCTGACGGAACCAGGAGTAGTGTAGGAGGGAAGCCGAGTACGGATGAAACCACCTCAGTTCGATGGAAAAACTTCTTGGACCAACTACATCCGTCAGTTTGAGGCAGCAGCAAAAGCAAATGGCTGGCTACCGGAAGAAAAAGCTACAGCATTGACTCTTGCTTTACGCGGAGATGCAACCGACATCTTGCAGACACTTTCTCCCAACGAACAAGAAGATTACGAAGCGTTGGTGAAACATCTGGAACTTCGATATGGCCAGACGCATTTGGAACATGTCTACCATTCCCAACTTAAGAACCGCTGCCAGAAATCAAACGAGACTTTGCAAGAATTCAAGGCTGATATTGCACGCTTGGTCCGGCTAGCATATCCAGCTACTCCAACGACCGTTATGGAACGATTAGCGGTTCAAGCCTTTTTGGATGGACTTCGGGACAATGAAACACGACAGGCTCTGACATTGGCTCGTCCGAGCCAACTGGTTGATGCATTGGCTCGAGCTTTGGAATTCGAGGCGGCAAAGCAGGACTGCAGGAGCCAGCCTAGAATTAGGAGAGTCGAGGGAGCGAAAGAGGAGGTATCCAGTATTATTGAAGAAATCAGGCGAATTCTTAAAGAAAATCTACCAGAGAATAAGGAAATCCGGTTAGAGATGTGGAAAGCTGGGACATATACAAAGTCGTTGCAGAGGAAGTCAGGTGGCGCCGACTTCATTTAGAAAAATAAATAGGGCCGAAGAAAAGGATGTTCGCAGGACTACAATCGTAGATGATCATTGGCAATCCGCTGAGGTTCAACAAGACCAGGAAAGGGACCCGGATTTGAAGCTCAACATCGATTGGAAAAAGAACGACCATAAACCAACGTGGCAGGAAGTCGCCCAATATTCGCCGAATGTGAAATCGTACTGGGCCCAATGGAATTCCATCATCTTAAGTGACGGGCTTCTAAAGCGCGTTTTGGAGTTGCCAGAAGGGGGGGAAGACCTGAAGCAGATAATAATCCCCAGAAACAGGATACCAGAAGTGCTGCAGGAAATCCATGATGGAACTACTGGAGGACATCTTGGGGTGACCAGGACGCTCAGAAAACTTAGGGAACGGTTTTATTGGGTCAACAGCCAACGAGATGTGAAGGAATGGTGCAAGAAGTGCGCCGTTTGCGCGGCAAGCAATGGACCCCAGAAGCGCCCAAAAGCCCCAATGCGACAGTACAATGTGGGCAGCCCATTTGAGAGAATTGCAATCGACGTGGCGGGTCCATTTCCGGAAACAGAATCTGGAAATAAATACATCATCGTTGTAATGGACTACTTTAGCAAGTGGGCGGAAGCGTACGCCTTGCCAAACCAGGAAGCTGCCACAGTGGCCGATGCCCTTATTAAGGAGTGGATTTGTCGTTTTGGTGTGCCAATGGAGATGCATTCAGACCAAGGCAGGAACTTTGAATCTATACTGTTCCAGAATGTCTGTAAGATTCTTAACATTCGGAAGACGAGGACGACTGCATTACATCCGCAGTCTGATGGAATGGTAGAACGAATGAATCGAACGATAAACCGGTACTTGTCCAAGGTAGTCTCTGATCACCAAAGAGACTGGGACCGCTTCCTCCATCTCTTCCTATTGGCGTACCGTTCTTCTATCCACGATACAACCGGCCAGACACCCGCTAGTATTGTTATGGGACGTGAACTTCGTCTACCTTGTGACCTGACATTGTGAAGACATTGCTGAAGAAGATTATGTCAGCAATTTACGTAGGAAAATGAGCGACATTCATAGCCGAGTTCGTTTAAACATCCAGAGTGCCAGTGATAGAATGAAAGAGGCATATGACATCAAGGCGGAAAATGGAGGATTTCAACCTGGAGACCTAGTTTGGTTATACAACCCTCAGCGCCGTCGTGGTTATTCACCGAAGCTGCAGACTTCTTGGGAAGGACCATACGAAGTTATGGATCGCATAAATGACATCATCTACAGGATCAGAAAACAACCAAGAGGAAAGCCGAAAGTGATCCATTTTAACCGATTGGCTCCTTACGCTGGAAACAATGATGACCAAATAAACGACGCTAGAGTAAGGAGGGTTAATCCGCCGGAAAACGAGCTGCCTTTTAAAGACTTCATGTATTTTTATTCGAGCGGTAAAAAAGCTCGGTATGGTTTCACTCGAGAAGAACAAAAAGATCTGTTCACGGTTGCGGCCGATTACTCCTTGGCTCACTGTGTTGCGGAAGACCTTAGGATGTCCAGGGGAATAGCGGTTGTCTTTAAAAACAAGTTTGGACGGGTTGACGAGCTACGAAGGCAGAATCCCAAAGTTGGAGAGGTGCTTGAAATTGTGGATAATGAGCAGATAGGCAATAGAAGTATCTTCTATCTGGTAACGAAGCAGCTCTCCCATCATAAGCCAAACTACCGTGACGTATGGAATGCCTTAAATAAATTGAGGGATACCCTTTTGTCCAAGGACATCATGAACCTGGCGATACCGAAGATTGCTTGTGGACTTGACGGTTTAGACTGTAAAATAATTAGAAGCATGGTGGAAGTTATCTTCAGATTTAGTGGCATACACATTCTTGTCTGTTGCCACAACCCTAAAAGAACAACCGGAAGGAAGACCGTAGAATGCTACTTCTATAGGACGTCACAATGCAAGTTTGGATCTCTATGCAAATATCGCCATGGAGCTGAGGACCATTTTCGGGACGAAAATGTTTTAAGACGGGGGCAATGTAGCAAGTACGGCTCTGGATCTCGGAATGATGACTCATCGCCGATGAGTCATCGCCGGTGACTCAGCGCTCGAATAATCGAGAGTGTGGAGCTCGCTGGAATGTTCCAGAAGACATAGACGCTGAATATATAAGGAACGACGCATCACAGAGCAGTCAGTCCAGTTTTGGTACTCGCGTCGAAATAAATAAATATACGTGCAAATAAATAAACTACTAGTGATATAAATAATTAGTAGTTAAGTGTTTAGTTAGTTTTATAGTGTTTTAAGTGTAGTTAAGTTATTAAATAAATAGTTTAGTTCGTTAATTAACCAGTGCGTGTTTTAATTCACACTACGAACAGTTAAAAACGTTACAATAATTAGAGCAGCTCGATTCCCCTTGAAAAAAACTTTTCACTACTTAAAGTTCAAAATTGTTCAGTTTTTAGCACTTTCGATTATTGTTAATAAATAACTTGATTGTTAATATTTAGTTTTTATTAAAAAATAAATTAAAAAATCTTTATTAGTTTTCAAGTTACAGCCATTCAAACTTGAATAATTTTAAAGAAAAAATAATAATTTGTATTGATTTTAAACTTGGTCAACTTTAAGGTTCTATAACTTTTTATTAGTGAATATTTTTAAATTTTACAAAAACCACGTAAAAATTTAATGCTTTTTCTATAGGAATATTAATTTAGATTTACTCAATTGCGAAAAGACCTAAATTGTATTTTTAGCTACTTTTCGGCGATTCCAGTCCACTGTGCTATGTCCTAATTACACG